AGAGTAGAGCAAAAGAGCAAATGTGAAGTAGGGTTAGTAAAAACTCTGTAACTAGTGTTACTTATGTACTTCTGGAAAAAATAAGGCACAAAATGAAAGCAGACAGCATCAACAGAAAGCAAAGAACAGCAGAGGTACCTTACTCAGCAGGAGGATGGGAGGTAAGAAAGGAGGAGGATATCAGTAGAAAGAGGCATGTCCCTGTGTAAATATCCTAGGGAAATAACAGCTCATCAACTTCAGTGAAATAAAAGGGTGGGGAGTTAAGTCTGCAGAAAGGAAAAAAAAATCTAATTCTATAAGCAGTTGAAAGTGGAATTGCTGAAAATAGAATTGGTGCCTGTCCTTGGCCCCCAGCTGCTACCTCTGGCTGGATTGGTTTCAGGCTAGATCCGTTTCCAGATCTGGCTCACAACTGAACCTGTGGCTGTGCAAATATTTCATGCCCTTATAGAGGTGTGGGACAAGAGGGGACCCAGGGAGGAACCAGCAGTGAGATGGGACAAGCGTGGAAATACCTGCCAGCAAAGGCACCACTTTATGCTGTTTTAAGCAGCTCACAGGTCTGTGGTACCTAAGTTAGAGGCATAATAGTGCAGGCAGTTTACCTGCTTTATACATCTCAGCCTTGCCATCTGATGGTTCTAACCACACACAAGTTGAGGCAGCAGCTCATCTGCAATGCAGAGTCTTTTGTCCCCAGAAGATATTGTTATAATGGTGCTTACCTTGCTAATAGCTACAGATAATGCTGATCTTATTATCCACAAAGTGATATGCCTTTGAGACACAAGTGACATATACTGTGCCTCTTTGAAGCAGCAATTGAAGAGTACCACCCTCTGCAAACACGGAGGCAAAGCACTAGACTATTGGGTCTTACCTCACTTCTTTAGATGAAATACTAACTGATGAAATGGGCAGCGTGGCGCTTCCAAACTAGCACAAGAGGCTCAGACTTGCCATTTGTGCAGCCCACCATCTGCCAAGGGGAGGTTTAGCACTAACAGTAGCATTTAAGAACATTATATGGATTTGGGAACAATTCCCTAGAGGCTTTTAGAGCCATCAAGAGTTGTGTTTGACAGCCTAAGACAAATATAACCCTGCTTGTGCATTGAGTTTTGGAAGGTGAAGGGTAGTTATGTTGCAAACAAGCCTACAGCAATTTCAGACTGTAAGGAGCCTTCGACTGAGGATGATCTCAACAACAAACAACTCCTCACTTGACTGGGGAATAAACAACTAAGTGTTTTTTTCTTTTTCATCTACTAAGGTCAAGGGTGAGATACATTGCTCAGGACAAGTATTTTTCATCAGCATTAGTGACCCCAACAAACATACGAGAATAACAGCTTGAGGAGTTGGATGCTGTTTTGCAAAATGTCGTTGACATTGCCTCACATATTTTGTTTTCTAGTTCATTTTGTAAAGTAGGGAAGTTCACATTGCTAATCAGAGGATTTGGAACTGCGGTTATGGGATCTTTGTGGACACTCTGCAAGCATTATCCGATACAGCCTCTAAAATCTGCTAGATTCTCTGTTGATTCTAAGCTTCCAGCAGAAATGTGCTTCAAACAGCACCCGTGTTTAGTTGGCAGAAGACTAAAGACAGCCCTGCTGTCTCTGCTGGCAGATAGACAGCTTGCCACGATAGGGCACGTGTGGAGGCAGTGCAGATTTGGGCTCTGTTGGCCACACGCACGTGACAAGCTCCCACCAGGTGTGCAGCTCTGGGCTGCTCACGGGAGGCTTCTGAGCGATTGGGAAACGTAGGATGTATTAGCAGGGGCCATGAGCCCTGCCTTGTTCTGAGGGCTCCCTGGCAGTAATTCTTATGCACTGCACGGACATGGGAGCTTGGGGGTCAGGGGGGAGCCCTGGAGGCCGTTAATGAACTCTTTTTAATGTCCCTTTCAGAATGTAATTACTGCATGTAACGTAATTACAGCTCAACTATATATAACTGTGGGATGAAGTTAGTATCCCCTGTGGGGGCTTTTAATTAATCTCTGGCCATCTCTCTCATTCCATGTATACCTTAGTTTTAGACGCAGAAGCAGGAATCCTGTCTCTGGCAGGCTTTATTTATACCATTACTTTGCTCACCTCAACTACTTAGTGGGATGGGGGGAAGTTAGGACCCGTGAAGAGAGGCCAGGTCCCTCAGCAAGTCATCCCAAATGGTGACCACAATCCTCATCCTCAGCAACTTGTGCCCTGCACCAGCGACCTGCCTCCCTGGAGGTCTGTACCTGGGATCACAGCAAGAACAGAGAGTTCCTTCACTGCAGGAAGCTTATTTGCTTCTTGCATTTGGTTTAGTTCATGGTGTTTCTTCTCAAGTATTCTCCTTAAACCAGCTGGTACGGCAGAGCTTTGAATAAATGCAAGGGCAGCGTGGTTTCAGCTTTGAGAGATGTGCTTGTAACTAACTGATCTCTTTTCTATTTCCCTCCCACCCCTCTCTTTAAATATAACTTTCTCTCTGTATTAAGGAGTAAATGCAAAACATTGAAGCCCTTAAAATTTACTCTATTATTTCTGCAGTGTTACAAATTGTGCAATGGCAACGCCTTTATAGATGCCCTCATCCTTCCTGAGAGCAAATTCTGTGAATCACATTTTACAAATGAGGCCACACCAGACTGCATATATCCCAGCACAGATGCCTAAGGATTTCACTCCCCGTACAGTCCATATATTTCTACACTGTTTCCTTGTTTTTAAGCCATCCTTTATCCACGCAGAGGCACTCATTGAATGACGAAGATCAAGCAGGTCTTGCTTAAAACTAAAAATTTAAGATGTCAACGCGAGTGTACATATTTAAAGCCGTGCAGAGGAATCTCATTTTCAGCAAGTTAGTTCTTAGCTGCAAACTGATTGTGCTCACAGAAGCTGTCTACACGTGGATTTGCAAACATAGAATACTTGTTTAGCTGGGTTTTAAAAGCCCTAATTTGTTTTAAGCTGATGCATACACACACACACACTCTTCCATGTGTCACACCACGTTATTCCTAGTCAAGTTCTGTGTTTTATTTATGTTGCTGTTTGGAATCGTAGTTTTATATTGCTGTATAGAAAAACAGATCTGTTTCTGCCTTTTTCTCTCTTGATGCAGAACAACTTCACTGGCCTAAGCAAGAGCTCTCTAAGAAATCAGTCCTGAGCCCCAAAGAACACAAGCTGAACATTAACAATGAAAACAATCTCCAGCCCGTGTCTTCCGGGATTCTCAAGGACATTTTCACAACAGGAACCAGTAGCTATAACGTCCTTCTGCAGAGCCAAGAGGAGAAAAAGCACCAGGCTCCCCATCAGCCCCCCGCTCCCCACAAGAGGAGAGCCCCGAGGGGCTGCGCCGTGGGGCGGGCGGGCGGCAGGGCAGGCAGCAGCGCAGCACCGCCGCCCCGGCCCAAGGGCAGAGCTAAGAGGCGTTCTAACCAGGCAAAGCCTAAACAGGCCCCTGGGAAGGAGGGGGACGTCTCCGGCCAGAAGCTGTGTTTGCTCACTGCCATCAAGCCTGCCAACGTGGACAAAGAGAAGGTGAAATTCTTCAAGTCGGATTTCACCTACAATCCGCAGTTTGAATACGCGAACCCTGCGCTGCCAAACGTGTTAGCTAAGCACAGCCAAGCATCCGACAGGTTTCTTAAGCAGGTAGGGCTTCCATTTTGTGCCTCCCTGATCACATAGTATATTTTCTGTGCTTACAGATGTATTTTGCTTTATTTGTAGTGGGTGCAAAACTATTCCTTCTTATCTTTCTCGCATGCTATTCAAGAAAAACCTCAATGATAAGACAACAGCAGAATCTAAAGTTCTTCTTTGTTTGTTTTTTGTTAAAGTGAAACCCTTCCAAATGTTTACAAGATTCTTCTGTAGGATAAAGACATAGTTTCTCATAACTGTTTACCTGAAACAGCTTAATGCAAGAAAGCTCCTAAGGCAATGAAGCAGAGTCCCATATAGGAAAAATAAAATGCATAAATAGTCTTCAATAAAGAGGAAAAAAAAAGGCAATATAGAAATCCTGTCAATCCTCTTGGTGACACAGGGATTTGTTAGGGGGAGTGGAAGGCCTTGACTGCCTTGAAGTCATGGTTATTAGATGAGCATGTGTTGATTTTACTTGGTTAAATTTACTTTGGAAGAATATTTGCATAGCATTAAGCTCAGTCAAGCAACAGATCAGTGCTATGTCCCAGATCCTGACCAAAACTCCATTCCAGAGACAGATAAAACTTAAAAATATTTTTAATGTTAATATGGTTTCATAGAATAGTTCCCATTCTCTGCAGTCAACTCGGCTTCCTAGCTGAATCAGAAAAAAAAAAAAGCTTTTAGTAACAGATCAGTGTTATCTATATAAGAAACAATTATCCTCCCACATTTTAATAGGATCTTTCTAAACCATTAGGTCTGACAAGATTTTTTAAGCAGAGAATCTCTTGCTTTAAATGATACTTAGCCTTAGAGCCATTTCTGCATTCCACAGGTTCCCATTCCATGATTATTTCACATTAACCTCCCCCCTGCAAATGGTTGATGCAAAAGATATTCCAAATTAAGTTTAGTAGGGGCCCTGATGACTGCCTCCCAGCTTGTGAAGAATCAGGCATTTATTTTCAAATCCAAAGCATGCAGGCACTCATGTCCATGAATTCAGTCATTGGATCCTAAGCGTGATTCTGCATTTCCACACTGAAATATATATGTACACTTATGTATATTAACTCAGTTATAAAGACAGAGTGCCTGTTCTGCTCCAAGATTTAGCTCCCATTTTTCTAAACAACCAAATAAATCATACGGACGCCGAACAACTGACTAGAGCATGTAGAAAACTTTGCTGCCTTTTTTTTACAGTAATGTTAGCAATATTAACCATAGATTACTGCAAGTCAACACCAGCTGCAAGTCAAGTGGAATTCAATGCAACTTATCCCTTTCAATATGAGGTAGCAGGGACTTAAAAATGGCTTTATGCATGATGAATTTATGGAGAAAGCCTGTCAGTAATTTAACCTCCTATTGAGGAAAGAGCCCACGCCTTCATCCTGAGCAGTCAAGCTTGTTAGTATGGAACAATCCCTTAGCATTATTATGATTGGTAACGTTAACCTTTCAAATAAGGGTTTTTAACTTTATAAAAATAGTCAACGCTAAGTTAAATACGATATTCATGAAACGTATCAAGAAGCTATAAATTCTTTCTTAAGATTTAGTTAAGTGTCCAATTTTTAGCAATACAAACCCCTCTTCAAAGTTCAGCTCCCCAAAATACTGAACAACCCCCGGGCCCAGAACAGCGGCTTGGCCACAGGTAGCTCCAAGCCCAGCAGGTGGCGCTCCCGCTCCTTCTACGTACAACCCGCAACTCGAGAAGTTTCCAATTCCGCGCAAATTTGAATTTCATTGCAGGCACATTGATTATCCAGAAAAAGCAGCATTACCCGAAATTTTATTCTATCATGTTGCATGCGCAGTTATCTCCAATGCTCTTTCTTTTTTTTTCCCATTCAGATTTTACTTACGAGGAGAAACATGTAGGTTTCTCTCCGACTTTAGAGGTGGCTGCTAAGATACATGAACGAAATGGCATCAAAAGCAGCCATTACAAAATGCCACGGCTTTTAAATCACTTTAAGGATATTTTTACCCACCTATGAAGGTAGCCTGCTGAGACACAAAACGGGTTGCATCCTCTTATTATCCTTCTTGTCTTGGTGCACATCAGCGAAATCGGTGGCAACATAGGACAACATTCCCTTGCCTTTTAAGCAAAAACAGGCAAAAAACAGTACTCATTTGCTAACAATTAACAATCTTGCAGCTGGCAAAGTGCAGGCTCATGAGCACTGCCTGCTCCCCCATGCTTCCAGACAAGTAAAAATGTTCAACCCCAGGCATATCCCACTCTAACTTTTCACAGCCATACAGCAAATGTTTTTGCATTATTAATACACTTCAGATTTATACTTCCAACATCTCTTTTTGTCATGCTTGGTTTGTTTCTTTCATTTTACTTTGTTTTCTACATTATAAGGTTCTCTCTTCTGTGAGTCATGCAATATGTGCTATTAAGGAAAAGAGCTTGAACATTAAAGAAATAGTACATAGCTTGTCAGATTTCTAGCTTTTCATTTTGGTTGACACTTCAAATGCTACAAAAAGAATTTTTTCTCCACTGCTGTATCTCAAGGTCCGTGCAGCAGCCCTGTGTGACAGCTTCTATGAAAGCTTGTTTATCTGCATTCCTTCTGGCTCAAAATATTTCTCCCTATTTGTTAGTTTTCATTACCACTTAAAGCATTTGTATTTTTGTATTGATGCTGTGGGTAGTAATATTTAGGCAGAGGTCATTGCCCTTATCATTTTCAGAACAGATGACTTATCAGTTGCCATTTTCTGAACTAAAACTAGTAAGGAAATTGCAATTTGCAGTATTTTGCCTCTGAAGACCTATATTTCTTGAGTGATAGGCAAAAGCAGTAGAGACATCCTTTTTACTTCTTACTTCATACTGAGAAAGGTTTGTACTTTTTCTCTCCTTCCCACTTGTACAAAAACAGAGCATTATAAGTTAAATGGAAAGGGGAAAAGAAAAAAACAGTTATACCACACTACAAGTGTTTTCACTACACACATTTAAGTCATGACAAGAAACAGGTGAGTAGAACTGGTCTACAATTAGCAAATCACTGCAGATGATAGAAAAAAAAATAATCAGAGAAAATGGGAATGTGAAATGCAAGATGTCTCTTGTAGGATGCTGTTGACAAGACGGACTAGTTGTGTCAAAAATCCATGAACGTGCCCCCGGCTATAAAGAATATTTGAGTGTAAAACACCTCAGTGTTTATTAGCAACATGTTCTAAACTCACTTCTAAGCTAAGCTAAGCTTTACAGATAAGAGTGTGTTAATTTGTAATACAAATCAGTGGGGCTTATCCAGATAACATAGTTCTGAGCACACTGCTCACTTCTTTTCCTTGGGAAATACTTGTAGAGCACTTCCAGTGATACTGCAGGAAGAATGAGGACTTAATTTTTATAAACCACTTATGCAATAAGGCAAACCTAGCAGGAATTTTTATCTCTTTATAACTTACAGAACACATTTTTTCATTGAAAACAAATTCACCCTGCTTGACTTGTTGAAACATGCTCTTTATTACACAGAATACAAACATACAGAACAAAAAAAAAAAATGAAGTTTTGAATAAAAGTTGAGATAGTAGAGCCTAAATAGGCTATCCTCACCTCTAACCTTTTTCCATAGCATCCAGATAAGAGGGCAGCCACCATTTTATGGCTGTTGATCAGCCTAACAAGCTCCATCTGGTACAGCTTAGTGGTCCTTGAGCGTACAGCTGGAAAGCTTTTCTCTCACTTGAGCACATATAGGCTGTGCAGGGAGGAAGCAATAGCGCCTGTAAGTCTTGTCTGTATCACACACCTGAGTCTGCAGAGCTGCTTTTGAAGACAGGGGACTGTCTTCTCAATCATTGAGTCCATTCTCTAACTCAGATGCCTCATCCCAAATCTATGTGCAGCAGTGCAGCTTGGTTCCTTGAGAGGTACCACAGGTACATGTGTTGATAGGATGTACTCACAGAAATAAATGATCCTGTATTGCTGTACAGAGATAACTTGAGATTCAGATAACTGTTTGCTGTGAGCAGTTTAAAAGAAAAGAAAATCTCCTAGTACCTGGTAATTAAGCAGAACTGAATGCAGATCTACTGCTCTTGATGGTTCTGTGTTGTTACATTGAGGGGCCACAGTTTGCTGTGCAATTGGACCTGCCTTGGGACTGCTGCTTCTGGCATACTCTGTAGCCATAAGAGAGATTCAACTAGACATTTTGGAAAATAAGCAACAGGATATAATTCTCCTTACTAGTAACCTAGCACAGACATATAGTTTTGTTTGTTTTTTTGCTGGTGCTGAAAAGTTTGTAGGTTGGCCTTAGAAACAAGATCATTAACTTGCTACCCACTAGCCCTGAGGCTGGAAAATGAGTTCACTACTAGATACTGAGATAGGCAAGAGCTGACATGTTCTTCTGGGTTTTGGCCTTTCCTGGCAAGTTCTTGCAACACCTGAGTTCTGTCACCTCAGCTCAGAGACAAGTAGGGAACCCTCAGTGAGGGGGCTCCATATCATAGACAGTGCTTGGGATCCAAAAAAACCCAAACGTTTTCCTGGGGGAATTTGCTGGGGTGGCTGTGGCAAGTGTCAAAATCAGCATTGCTGGGGACAGTTCTCACCTCAGTGCTGGGTTCACCTGCCGCCTGCGGAGACGTGTGTGCCCGTAGGAGAGTGAGATGGCCCTCGTGGCTGCTCCGGCGCGCGTGCGAGGATGCAGAGCAGCCCTTCCACCCACTGCCGAGCTGGCACCTGGGGCTCTTGGACTACCAGGACTCCTTCTGCTTTCTTTGAAACAGAGCCATGGGAAAGGTAGTAGTGGCCATCACTCAATTCCTAACGGTGAGAATCCTTGCTCAGGAATGAAGAGACCAGGCCTAATGACTCCCTCCATCTGGAGGGATTCAGATTGGAGTCACCTGCTCCAGGGTGGCTGAACCCTCAAGATACTCATTACCCAGCGTGGTATGTGGGAGAAAAGTGGTGTCCTTGGGCTGTCCATCTCTCTTGCTGAAGAAATGCAAGAAAGTTTCTTGTCCCTGAAGGCCTAACAGAGAGTTTAATGTATGTTCTGTGTTCATTTCCTTGTTGTGATGAAGTTGCTCTAGGAAATAATGTGCATTCTGACTCTGGCAGGAGAGTCCTCTGGGATAACGCCCTCCGAACGTACTAAAGCTGCATCTCCCTCGTAGTAGTAACATGTCCCTATAGACAGCATCAAAACAGGATGAACAGACTAATACATCTTATACGTCCTGCTTAAACACCCTTATTTTTATGAGCTTTATGTTGAGAAGAAACTGTCTCCTTGCTCTCAAATGGTTTCAGCAGTGCCCTGCGTTAACAGTCCTCTGCTTTATCAAAACCTAACTCATACACCCCTCCTCTATTTCAGTCAGCACTCCAGATTCTTCTTACCCTTCCTCAAGTATATGGAGTATCCTTTCTATTCTTAAGCTTAATACTTCTTTTCATTGATTTTCTCAGCTTCTTTCAGTGTCAGAATCTCATGCCCATTTTTCCTGTTGGTCCCTTTTCTGTGCAAAGCTTTGTCATTACATTGCAGGAAAAGCTTTTCCATGCAGTTCGTGATGAAGCTGAACTGGACCTCGTGCCTGGTTTATGCAGAGGCAGACTGAGCTCCGTGTTCATGACATCCCTCTGAAGCCACCCTGGGACCTGTCCAGACACGGAGAGTGCAGGTTGTTGTGAAATTATTGCACCAGCAATTTTTCTCAGCAGCATTTGACATGAGCTAAGCCAAGCTGCTACTCCTCCACTCCTCCACTAGCAATGATTCCAGTGCCATAAATTTCTCCTGCTTCCTTGGCAGTAAAATACATTAAAAACAACTGTTGCAGAAGAAAACAAGGAAAATGAGGAGCCTGCCTCTCTAGCTTTTAATTTGAGCTAGTCAGTCATGCTATTTGAGTACAGGAGTCACGATTTTCCAGCTTTTTGGTGAGTTCCTTTATGATTTCTTAACTCGTCACTGTTCAAAACCAGCGAGCATTTAGCTGCTACTTTTGAATGTTTCAGTTTTCATATTACCTGCTCCATTTCAACCCAGAAGTCTCCGGAAGTTGGGGTTCTGCTGACAGCAAATGGCAGCTGCTCAGGGCATCGCAGTTCTCCAGCCCCGGCCTCACGAGGGCAGCGCATCCGGGCTTCGGTGGTAGCTCAGCCTGAAGCAGCCCCATTGCATTTTACTGCTTCATCTCGCTGCACTTCTATCTAATGCTGTTGGGTGTAACAACACATCATTATGAGAGCTGTGGCAGCAGGGTTTAGGCTTCGACCCATCTCCTGGTGGACAGGTTCCCACATGCCTGCGGGGGAGCCCATGTGATTGCGTAGAGTGAAGTTCAATTCCCTCTTGCCAAGTACTCAGATCCATTAGAAGTTATTAATGGTGACAGGATTAGTTCCTTAATAGCTGCTAGGTAATTTCACCTGACAGAACAAGCTAGTAAATCTCATTCAGAACTTCCCTCCCAACATCTCAGGACCTGAAGATCTTTCTGGAATTTATTACTAAGAGAGAGAAATGACCAGGGGAAAAGAAAAGGAAGGAAGAAGAGGTTTTGGAGAGAAAATATGATGCTCAGATTTCTTTGAGAATGGGGATTACTGATGCACATCAAAGGGATTTAAGCATCAAAGAATATGACTAAGAGCTTAGCTTCATGTGTTTAATAGACTTCATTGAAATTTCATGTCAACAGCAGTGAAAACAAATTTCATGCTAGACGATTAATTGAGGGACTTTGTCTTTCAAAGTGAGCAAATGACAGCAATTATTGTTCAGTGAAACCAAATATACCAAACAACTGGTAGGTGACATTAATATCTTAAAGGATCTGACACCTTGCAAAGGAAACTAAACAGCTCTCGTATTGAATTAATCGGATTGCCTGCTGATTTGCTTCTTTTACCAAGGATTTTGTGTAAGGCATGAAAACACATTGGCTTTTGCAGGGACACTGAAAAACACACAAAATAGCCCAAGCTTCTTAGAACAAGTTCATAATTCATATATAATAATTCAGTTTAAAAAAAAAAATCCTTTGGGAAAATATACAAGCTCCCTGTCAGGTTAAGAACTAGATTTTGCTTTGATTGTTCTCTACATCTAGCCCTTGATCCCAGAATTTGCTAAAGCAAATGACTTAAAGCAGTTGTTATTAGAGTCCAAAAACTTCAGGCCCTGCTTGAGGGACTCATATATTTCTCCTTTTAATATGTGGATTAGACACTATGTTTGCTTCATTTGCTTGAGATCATTCTCAAATAACCTGCAATAAAAATACATTACTTATGGGCAGAAACCTCTCTTAATCTTTATGGCTTTGTCACAGCCATGCATCCATAGAAGACCTAACATAAAACCTGGGAAGTTGCTTGGAAACAAAATCCCATTTACACTATAAGTGTTGGGATAGGCCTGGAGTGTGGATGTACTGTTCTCCTCACTCATATTTCTGTACAATAAATGAACGGGATTAACAGTCAAATCAACAGTACATTCTTTTATGTATCTAAAATAGCAGAGGTGTACAGGAAAGAAAGATCACAGCAGTTATATGGGGTAGATAGCTTCTTTGCTTCCAGATTATGTGACCTCCAACACGACTGGCTTCTTTAAGCTAACCATCTCTTTTTTTCTGTGCTAAGGTAGTAAATTATGGTTCTCCCTTCATTTCTGAATAAATTTCTCAGATGTGACCAGGAGACCTTTCAAACTAACATGAAGCATAAGAGGCAAAAAAAAGAAATACTAGAAATTAAGTGTATTATTCTTATGATATTCCAGTAATTTATATTACTTTCATCAAGGAGCTGCAGGACTTTAAGAATACATCATGACTAGCATTTATGGCTTTCAGTGGCAATTAATGAAGGTTGCTTAATTTCAACATGAAAAATATGAAGAGGATTCTTAGTAACTGTGAGAGATAAAATATTAATCCTTTTTTTTTTGTGGACAGTAAGCCAATCTGACAATGTCAGAATGCATATCTGTAAACAAACCACGTTATCAGCTTGGTACATAGATACACTGAGTGTATAGTGTAGAAAGCGATTCAATCCTCAAGATTTCCACCATCACCATTAGTGGTGTTTTCTTAGCAATAGTATTCATTTTGTAAGGCAATGTCAATAATATTTTTGTCTGGGGTTCTTGTGAGCTTCTGTTGTCATATCAGACAATACAGCGGTTTCCTTGGCTGGGCTACGGCCAGGTAAGAAGATATTCTATAGTGTTTTTTCTTCTAAGGGTGTGAAGCAACATGTTGGGAAATAGCTTATTGGAAATGACTATTTCACACCCCCTGAGTAACATCTTGGACACTCAGGGTGCAGATCTCATTACATGAAACAGGGATCGTGCTGCATCTCCCCCCACCAAGGACTTCTCCCAGCAGCAGCACACAGGAGAGGCTATTACTGCTTTGTTTGCCCAGTGGAACCGTGGAAATTCCCTCCTTCGTTGTTTGCGTTATAGAGAAGTGTTTTGCTTAAATGCAAGTTCTGCGAATAAAGTTTCCACTGTTTCTGCTTTTTGAGAAATACAGACATCCATGGTACATAGGATATAATCATAAGGAGGCATTTTGGTAGAAATGGTCTTGTTAAAATCACAGGTAGACAGCTGTTGAATCATGGTTCAGCATTTCCAAATCACAGAATACCAAGATGATGATAATGGATGATATTTATAAAGTTGGTTGGAAAACCATAAAAAAACATGCTACCAACTTATCTTTCCAACATCTTTATGGCCTTTTTTAATCTGATTTACAAGCCAGTTATATATTTTTCCCAAATAGCTTTTTTTTCCCCTAAATTATAGAGAAAATGGGTGTCATTTCACTAAGCTGAGAATCATCTGTGTCATGCTGATGTATGTGGGTCCAAGATGAGTTAATCAGAATCTTTCTTCAGGATTTTGGCATTAATGCAGTCTGAAGATTATATAAATTGATTACAGAGGGTGTCAGCTTGCATGTAATGACTACAATTCAATAGTGACTCCCAGGGAGTTTTTTTTAAAAAAAAAAAAAAGGAGAAGAAGAGAAAGAGGGGAGGGAGCGAAGGAGAGAGAATGCCAGGCTGACACAGGGGTCTTACCACATGCACATTTAATATGCTTTTGCTTTTTATAGTCCATTAACATTATGGAGCGGACACTGCAGAAATATGGAAGCTATGAAAAATTTGAACAGGCCACAGGAGGAAGTTTGCTGACCAAAAGTCGCATCTGGAATCATGTCAGGAAATACATGGTGAAAGAAGGCTGTCTTGGTGAGGTAGGTCACGCACTACGTTAGGGATGAAGCATTTATTTCAACGTTAGAAGTTACACAGGGAAGGGAACTAGGAGGCTGTTTGGGAGGCCTTTTCTTCATAGTTATAAGAATATTCCTTACATCTTATTTTTCTAAGACTGTAAGACTGTACCCAATTGAATTTCTGAACAATTCAGATGATGCAAGATCCTTGTGAATGCTTCAGCCATCTCTTTGAGCCTGTTTCCTGACTCATATATGCTCATTCTTCATTTCATCTCCTCTGGAAGTGCCAAGAGCAACACCCTTCCTCCTCTTTTTTTTTTTTTTTACAAAACTATTTGCAGTAGCACATTTCTATTTATTTCTCAGTTCTGCCATCCTTTCTTTTCTATCACATTACTTACACCAAAGGTAAGACAGGTAAGAGAAGGCCAAGAAAAATAACCAGCAGTCCAAGAGACTGAAGTTGCACAGATGAAGGTGATATAAGCAAATAAAAATGTCTGAAAAACTTGGACTTGACAAGATGGTTTAAGTGCTCTTTTTTTCCTCACTTTAAGCTTATTTTCTGGAGGTGTATGCAAAAACAAAACAAAACAAATATTTCTCAGTTACTCAGGGTTTAAAAAGTCCAGCTTGACTAAGTTACACATAATTGTTCGGAAAAGTCAGCTGAAGTCGAATGTAGAAAAGCAGAATTACTGCAAATGTAAACACCAGCTGACATAGTGCAAGACTTGCATGAGACGACTGGAGTGAACAAGAGGAGCCTGGAACAGATCAATAGAAAAAAACAAAGTAGTTTATAGGAAATTAGATTTATTTAGTGAACCCGTTATTGTTAAGAGAGGTTGTTAACACTCATCACTGCTTTCTGGGAGACTACAGTTTGATTCTGGTGCCAAACTTTACCTGCTTCTCTAACAGTGAGATTCCAAGGCTGCAGTTTAGAACAAACCAGAAAAAAATACATTTTTGGTCTTTGCTGTCCCCTGGGCATACATGTTTATCTTTGTTTGCTTTTATAGAAGCAGAAACCTACACCTCATAAAATACCCCATATCTGTCTTTATTCAGTGTTCCCCTTCTTCTGCAGAAGGACAGTTAATACTTCATGGTATGGTCTAAAATCCGCTGTAAATATTCTCTGTACTTGAAGAGAGACATCAGCTGTTAATAAGACTAAAAGTAGTATGAGTAGTTTAGATTCTAAAGTGTGCAGATAACCAGTCAATTTATGTGTTTATGTGTTTATCTAATACTTTAAAATTACCAATATTTTCAAGATTATTAGACATTTAAAAAAATGTAATTTTCTCTACTTTCTGCATTTGCTTCTTCTCATCTCCAGTATGTTTAATGTTACCATATTCCCATTTTACCATCTCATATGTACTCTCTTAACCGCCCAACTAAGTCCCACTAAGGTTTCTGAGGTTTTATCAGAAGCGCAATAGTCAGAAGTGTTTCACACAGATAATCTACCAATAACTAGGAAGAGCTGTGAAGGGCAAGGGACGAAGCATAAATGAAACATTGGAAGTGCTTTTTGGAAGACATAAAGCAGGACGAGAGCTCTGTGCGACCTGAACTCTCTCATCTCTAGATCGTGGTGCATCTCACGGAGGACCTGCTCTCTCGAGCCTCCATGACGGTGGTGAACGGCCGGCCCACGCTCACCATCAATGTGTCCACGGCGCGGGAGCACTGGCTGGAGGGGATGCTGCGGCACGAGATCGGTACGGGGGGATGTGCACGCGTTCCTGCTTTGCCACAGGGGCTGGGGACTGCGCGTGCACTAAAGGAGGGAATGTCCCTGTTTAAATGACCTGTAGGTGTGCTAAAGAGAAGGAGAAAACGATTTCTAAGTGCTGTTCCACTTCCACTTTAAGATTCGCAGGCTGTATCTATACTAGCATTTCAGGTCAGATAAGGAGCGAGCTTTCGAAGCGAGGCTACCAGCCATCCCCACTTCCTGCTCTAAGGTTCATGCTGGCAGAGCAGTCTCAGAGCAGGCCAAGTAAAACCCTTTCAGATGACGCCGACATGGAAGCTGTGCCCCAGGGCAGAGCTGCAGAGCTGTCACTGCTTGAGGGCATCTCGTTCACGAGACCAGCCCTGAGCTTGTCTGGAGCAAAGACCCTGAAACACCTAGTGGGATTGCCCAGTCCCAGCACTAGCCACTTCATTTTACCAGTCCCTCTACTACACCGCGCTGCTTGCTAATGTAGATGTGCTTAAAGTATGAGGAATGCACGTGGTGATCCCTGCATCCAGGTGAGATTGCCTCCACTTGGCCCAACCCCATGGAAAATTTCTATAAACCTTTCAGCATATTTTGTTCTTATCAAGTAAAACAAAACCAGATTAACTTGCCTCATTGCAGAATTTCATCCAAGAAGTAAGCACTGTGATTGCCTTGAGCCAGGGTTAATCACTTTATAAGGGGACAGCAACCAAGGCTGCAGGAGGGCTCTATAATCAGCGTCTAGAGGCAACATTGCTGCCACTGAACCCTCTCCTATTACTTCTGTTCACCCCAAAGCCTCATCTATCCTTGAGGTATTCGATATGTAAGGCACCTTGGAAAACTCCTTTTCATGGATTTGGGAGCTCCAGTCCTGCTAACATTTGTATTCCTTAGACATTTTTGGAAGTCTCACTTGCAATCAGCAGGGGGATTATTGCACTGTTGGCATTTAGAATAGGGCTGATCTACATTTCTGCCTCTGGCAAGATTCTGTTGTAGGTATGGACAAAGGTGGCATTTTTTTCATTACCCAGTGCTACCATTGAAGTCCTGATCTTGGCACCTCCTCCAGTATTTTATCATGTTTTAGAACAGTAACACCCACTGATTCAAGTCCCACATTCCTTTCTTTTCAGGAACTCATTATTTTCGGGGTATTAACAATAACAGCCAACCTTGGTGCAACTGGAGTGGACGTAGAAAACATGGGTTAAAACCAATAAACCCTACAGAGGAGGGTCTAGCAAGCATTCACAGCGTCCTCTTCCGCAAGGACCCTTTCCTGTGGAGGGCTGCCCTGCTCTACTACACGGTGTACCAGGCTAGCCAAATGTCCTTCAGCCAGCTCTTCCAGGACGTGGGCAAGTTTGTCAAGGACCCCAACACTAGGTGGGATTACTGCGTACGAGCCAAGAGAGGGTGGACGGACACATCACAGCCAGGTGGGTCTCTGCTTGGTCTGTATTTGGACCTCACCAATGTGGCCAGAGCGTGCACAGAGCTCGTTCAGCATCTGTCGTGCTCTAAAGGTTTGGCAAAAGGGAAGAAGGGGACACTTCACTTTAAAATGAGGCAACAGGATTTATGCTTTTGAAAATAAGGCTGAAAATACACATTCTTAAGACTGTCAAATTGAGTCAGTGAAGGATTGTTGTTGTTGTTGATAGTGGGAGCTGTAAAAGTGTGCAATTCAGACTCAGTTTGGCCTACTTTCATGTTTATTACAAGAAGTACTGCTGCAGAAATTCACGTATATCATCTTTGGTGCTTATTTTCTTTCTCCAACTAGTGGGTTTAGCCTTCTAGTCAGTTTGGGAAAGGTTTTCAAGCTCCAAGGTATAACTATGCATTTTTAAGAAATACAGTTGTTTTGTTAGTAATGACTTCTTAAAGCACACCTTGAACAAACTGATGCATCAGAATAAATCTTATTCCTTTTAGGCTGTTTCAATAAGGATCAGGTATACTTGGATGGCATCCTTCGAATCCTGAGATACAGACAGTCCATTGATTTCCATCTTCTGACAGCCCTTGGAAAGGTGAGTGGACTCATTCCTACCCAAAAGATGCGGCTGCTTTGTTTTAGTAAGGTTGCCTGTGAGGAGTTACACAAGTCATTGCCCTTTGCTTCACTTTGATCTAGAAATCTGTGTTCTGTATAGCGTGTGATGTACGCAAAGCATGAGCTACAAATATTTTGAGGTCCTAAAAATTCCTGCCCTGTTTTCCTCATTCCTCACTTATCAGATTATGATTTTACAGTCGTATTTCTCTTCCTTTTCTCCCTTGATGACATTGAAGTGCTCTTCAGAAGGTTTATCGGGGTTACCACCTGCACTGCAGTACAATGCAATGCCTCAGGCAAGCAGGACGGGTGCTAGACAAGGTGATGGTCCTGGGAGAAAGTAAAATTCACATTAACGCATTTCCTTCCACCGCAAAGAGAGAGCCAATACTTGGTTTTCCATCACTCTTTCTCTTATGTCATCTGACATTTTTTAAAAGTCAGTGTATTTTTTTTCCAGAATACATGGTATTCATAAATTCACAGCGTATGTTTTCTGTCCATTCTGACTATCACTTATTGATATTTCTCTGCCTGACTGTCACCCTCAGTTTTCAGTGCGAAGCTGCGGCAAGTTTGCTAGTTCTCAGATCCATACTAAGTAGCACAGTTTTGGCAGAAGCTTCCTGAACTGAATCTTTAGATTGCTAGGGTTCCACATTTCATAAAACAGGGCTCACACTCGCATAAAATGGGAATCAAGTTAGTACTGGTTTGCTTGGTTTGAGAGCTGGTATGTCAACATTGCTTCCTGCTTGCTGTTGACATTGGACAATGAATGGAGATGGTGTATTATGATGTAAGCTTTTTAGTCCATACTTGAGAAGTTTTGCCTCTCAGAAACATCCATATGGGTCAGCAGAGTTATTTAAGTAACTGAACCAAGTTGGAAAACTCTGGAGAAGAAAAAAATAAGCTGTTACAGATAAGTCTGCAGCTTTATTTTCTGAAAATTCCTTCTGCTTTAAGCATGCTTAACTCCACACAGCTTCAACCTGTTAAACTGTTATGGACGCACACTCCACTCATGCACCAAGAGGCTGCAATATTGTCAACCCCGGGGATGCACACTCCACTCCTGCACCACTGTATCTCCTTCTGCCTTCCAAGAGGCTGCAATATTGTCAACCCCGTGCAAAAACATCATGTAAATCATACCTCATAAAATTACAGATTCAATCATAATTCAAATGCACTCCAAATTAAGGATTTCCAAACAATTTTGTTCTAGGAGTATGATCATTTATAAGTGCTTGACTTTACAGCTTCCAACTCAAGGGAACTTAAGTTTAACTCTGGGTGTTTTTACTGCTCACATCTACAGTCTAGCTGAAGGGTGTGTGTAAGAGTGTGCCTGCTCTCAAGAAAAGCAAGTTCTGTGTTCACAGAGGAATATTACGCTTTCACAGAGACTTAGCCTGCAATTGTTATGAGTTGCTCACCCCTTGGAAGGTGTTTTGTTTGTTTGCTTAAGGCAGAAAAGAAAGACTGGGCTGTTGCATAAGGAAGCTGAGTTGGCATGTCTTCCAGCTTAGAAGAAAAAGCACTGAAATCCAACCATGGGGAAGCCCAGGAATTAGTGGGAAAATGTTCATTGCTTTCAAAGGTTTTTAGTGCTGTTGTGTTGCAACAAGTGAGGTCATCTTTCTTGGCGTGTTTACCTTTAGGCCCGTTTCATTCGAAACGCAACCTGGGAACGAACATAATAGGAAACCAAAGCAACCAAATATACTGCTGATAAGAAGTCACTTTCTGTGCTTTAATAGGCGGTTAACACAGCCATAAAAATCAGAGCACTGGTTTCTCATATGAATGAATGTAAGAGAGAGCCATCCTGATGTTTGTGTGTCCTCTGTTCTCGCCTGGGTGCTGGAGATCTGGCTGACCCAAACAGTGCAGCCTTCCTGCTGTTTCTGCCATCACTTTGTGTTGGAGAGAGCAATATGTGGAAAGGGCACCTGGCTTGTGCACTCAGGCAAGCTGTTCTGCATGCCTGGAGGGTGACGAGAGAGAGAGGCTGAAGCCTGAGAAAAAGATGCCTTTGATAAAGAGCAGTTTTAAAGCTTCACAGTCGTTAAAGAATCAAGTATGAGAAGCCTTGCAAAACCTTCATTTAATAATGTCATGCTAGTATTAAAGCAGAGAAATAGTATGCGGATATTGGCGGCACCTCAGCATTCAGGAGCTACAAGGCAGCAAAAAGTCATCTGCTGTTTTGTTTTCTAATAACATGAACACATTAAAAAAGCCTAATGAGCCAATTTTTGCCTAGTTTTTGTTATCTATTACAATAATTTTAATTACACGTTGTAAGGAAGACACTTTGTTACCATAGTAGGATAAGATTATGTCTTTATGTTCTCCTCAAAGTGTTATTTTTAAAAATTGCCATGACGAGTGAAAAGCCTCCTAATTCAGACCACACCTTTGAGCACAAAGGCTTATTTCTTGGTTGCAGCAGTAACAGAAAATTCTGAAAATAAATTCAAGATGGGAAGGCTCCTCTTCCCTCTCCCTTTGTTTGAGGAAAAGGGTAGATTTAAAGTTGGGAGAGGAGAGAAGGTCAGTATTTAATCTCATTTGGTGCTGTGTTCCCCGAGGTAGGATTTCATATAGGTCCTGTCTTCCTGCTTTTAAATACGTTAATCAGGGTGAAATGTCTTCAAACAACAATACTCCGTATTGAGGTGAGTTCATATTGCTTTACTGCCTGGGCATGGATGGTGTTCATTTTGGAAATGGGCACGCGTCTCAAGATTGCGGCCCAGAAGGTACCCAAGCTCAGATGCAAATGCATTCTCCTCACAGAATTTGTTCTCGTTATCCGTGAAATAACCACCATGTTTGACAGCTCCTATGGATCATAGACTGTCCTTCCTTTCCAAAGAGCCTTCCCTCATCCCTTACGCATAGGTGGGTCATCAGCACTTGCTTTTGTCCTTTCCAAGCAAGAGCCATCACCTGCTAAGAGGGCAGGCAGCCTCCAGGAGCCCCGACAGTGCCATGCCCAGCTCCTTAGAAGGAACAGAGGGTAAGAAGGAGCAAGCTCCACTCTCAGGCCACCTGGCACCGCTGTGCCCGGAGGAAGTAGGGATTGCCAGCTAGTAAGCACAGCCAGGATGTTTTTGCCAGTGCATATGCTCCTGCCTGCAGGTTGCCCCAGCACGCACAGCTTGTAGGCAAAACGGCAAGCACCAGTTTCATTACAGTGGATAACTGCCCACGGGGACTTGTTCTTTGCTTGCAGGACAGTTTCTGCAGCCTGGCACAGCCAAGGAAATCATCCTTTCCAGATTCACAACACCTTGAGCAGACTTGTAAGAAAATAAATCTCATATTTTATTAGGAACAAAACAGTCAGGGAAGGTGGAAAATGCTGTAGCAGTACCCAGAAGTCTCTGATGCCAACAGGCAAACCCAGTCCCTCCCTTCCTCCCCATTTTGATGCGCCCGGGGTTGCCCATGTTAGTTAGTTTCTTACTGAAGAGACACATTTAAATTCAGCTTTGTGTAAACACAAATAAGTTCCTGCTGGTGAAACTGAAACCATAGGAATGTGGGAATACTGGCAGACTTTCTGGATCCTCTCAAAGTGCAAGTCTGCCTGTTTCTTCTTCCATATCTGCCCTGTACTCCATCTGTTGTTCCCTGATCTTTGGTCCAGCATCCTTTCCAGTCTCACGTCAGTCTTTCCACCTCTTTGAGAACCCCAAGAATTCCATGCCTCCCATCCTTTCCCTCCCTCTTGCTGTAGCTACTGTAGGTCAAACCCGTTCACAGTGAGGTCACTAGAGTCTGTTCACTGAGTTAACCAAAAGCAGGAGGAGGAGGAACTGTGGAGGTATTTGTTAATGCTGCATTTTTCTTCTGTTGAGAAAGACAGTAACTCACGCTCTGGGATTGCTCTCAGTTTGTTGCGGTTGCGTTTTCCTTCTGTTGAGAAAGAGTAACTCACGCTCTGGGATTGCTCTCAAAGGACACCAATAAGCTTTTATAGCCTCCTGCTCTAAAATATTTTACCATCTGCAAAAGGGAGTTTCGAGCTGCAACACATTAGAGAAATTACAGATGCAAGAGGGCTATACCTCAATATTAACCCGTCTCCTTCCTTGCAGATCTCATATGAGGACGTGGACCGCCTGAAGGAATTAGCTGTGATTGAGAATATGAGGGTACCACACTTCTTGCAAGACCATGCACGATACATGGAGCACTTGGAAAAGATCATGGAAGTCAATGAGCTCACTGATGAGGAGCTTCAGGATCTCATAAATTAACATCATTAGTTAACCTCCTGTTAATCCTGAATAACTGAGACCATAAAAATCAGACTTCTGGGAACCCAAGGTGGACTTTTCTGTAGAAGGGGGAGGTGGCCAGAATATAAAGTTCTGTGAATTAGGTTTTTAAAAATACAAAATCAAAAACTATGAACTCAAGAGTTTTTCTTTTTGAAAAAGTTTCCTCAAGTTTCTTTTGCATTGTCATTATATACTAATGATTTTTCAAAGCAGGTTTGGATTTTTTAAATTTGGCTTAGGAATTCCTTTGCAGTAATGCTTTCAATCATCTTCTCCGTGTTTTGTATGCCACAAAAAGAGTTTGGCACTTTCCTTTTTAAGGTGGAAGAAAGAGACGAGAAAAAAAAAAGAGAGGGAGGAATTCTCTCTTATACCGTATTGCTGTAGATTATACTACATCACTTTCTGCGCAATTCTTACCCATTTTCTCATCAAATCAACAAAAAAATGTTTAATGTAAAAGAACACAGAAACATGTCTTTGTGCAATAAGATTAAAGCTGTGTCACACTGTAAAGGACCATTTGCTACTAAGAGACTTCACATTAAAAGAGAAAGGTATTGCTCATTTAATGACCATGAACAGCTTTTCTCCCCAAAGCACTGGTTCATATCTTTTCCTATACAGTACATGTTCCAAGAAGCTGAATTCTGGAAGAGGTTTCCCACCTTTGAGGACAAGTGTAGCATGTCTGGAAGCCTAACACAGCAGTGCTTTGGAAGAAGGACTGGCAGAACCGTGCTTTTGTTACTAGCCTATTTTCCATGAACTCAGACACACAGGGACATAGCACAGCACAGCTGAGCCACGCGAGCGAACGGTGGCTTCGGGCGTCTGTGCCACAGCAACTCGAGCAACCCGAGACACGAGTGAGGAGAGAAGATGACCCACAAGTGCCCTATTCTTGTGCTCCAAGCAACAGAACTGCTTCTGAAGCAGATTTACCTCCATTTTAACGTTGGTGCTATATCCAGAACAAAGCAGAGACAGCACGTTATTGCCTGGCAGAGCCAGTCAGGTGGTGAACAGCATGCACAACCCAGGAGGACTTAGAACTACATTTTCCTGAGTCCAGGGTGTTGTGGAAGAAGTGAGGCAAATTGAGTTTTGCACCTGTATGTATCGTGACCAAAGGGTTTGTTTGGGTAGGTGACGTTCTACCAGGCTGGTCTGAAATCCTAGGAAGGAGCCATGGATCCTTCTGTGGATTGATCTCTGGAACGAGGCTCCCTGTGCTCCAGTTACACACGCCTGAGCCCTGCTGCATCTTTCTCTCATCTCACCCTGCACTTTCAGCCAAAGGATGGAATAACCCCCGTCCGCCACAGGCTGATTTACACCCATGGCTGTATGTACACCCATATGTTGCTGTTATGGCTGATGTACACCCATAACAGTAGCCACCATTCTGGCCTGGAAGTCTGGATGACACATTTTGTGATCCATAGGGAAGAAACTCCATAGGGAAAGCTCTCAGCTTAGTTTAGCTGAGCAGTCCGCAGGTTTTGAGTAATCCCAAGAAATGAGCTGCCTTTTAGACCATATCACAAAAGCGCTGCATCAACCCCCTGACTTCTCCGAAAAAGAAAATGCACTTCGCCTGTGCAAATTTACTCGATTTGGTTATTTTTAAGAAATGGACCAAGAACCCAGCCTCAAACTCGTGTTGTTTGCAGTGCTGTGACCTGAAAGCCTGCTAGCCTGTGCATGTTGAGGGAAAGGCCCTTCCATGTCCCTCCTCCAGAGGTGCCCGCAGCTTTGTGGGCCCGGCTTTGCCCTCGCGCTGGGCCTGGCTTCACCCTCGCGCCGGGCCCGGCTTCGCCCTCGTGCCGGGCCGAGCGGGCCTCGCGCTGGGCCTGGCTTCACCCTCGCGCTGGGCCCGGCTTCGCCCTCGCGCCGCCGCAGGCCATTATGAAAGGGAAATCATTTCGAAATGATTCTTTTTTTCTTACCAAGGAGAACTCCCAGCCTTCCTCCTGTTGCTTCTATGTTTAAAGCAACAACAACAAAAAAGTAGAAAGCTTTTTCCCTTCCCTCAGTAGTAACTGTTATAGTGGGAGGGTATTTATATAATGGAAGCCCTGCTAGTGACCTGTTTTGCCACAGCCCCCATGGTCCCAGGCCTTTCTCCACTTGCCCATTCATTATATTGCTGCCCTCCCATCCAAAATGCTGCTGGTCTTTCTGCTTTGTTTGAAAACCTGCATCTCATTTTCCCCCATGCAGCTGGTGCCATTTAACTTTCTATATTCTGTAACTTTCTATATTTTTTTTCGTTATTCCATAAGTAGGTGCAGGTAGTTGGAGGTTTAAGTCAAAGTGGTCAGCATAAATACATAAATATATATATAAATCAGTATGTAGCAGTAGATTCAACTGTCAGCTTCTATTTTCAGCATCAGATTTGTCCTTCCACCTTTGTAAAGGCGTAAAATTTGGAAGTGCAGCTTTTGTAACCTTTCTGAATCTGTTTTTTACTGTGATGAGCCTGGTTCCTAAATCATAGTACTGAAGTTCTGTAATAAAGGTTTTGAACACTAGTGCGCAGGAGATCAAGTTAGTATAAAGTTCATGATGTCAGTGATGTGATGACAGGCTTTCCTACTAGTCTGGTCTGGTCCCTTTGCTGCATATTAATGACTCACTATTTATGTCATTTATACAGAGAAACTTGGTCAATGTTAGAACACGTGTTCCATTTCACCTAGCTGATTTTAAATGGCATTTTATATAACATTTCCAAATAAAAGAGAAGAACAGAATCTAGACTATAGGAGTGTTACTTTCTCCTGATGAAGATGGCTCTACAGCTAGGTGGAAATTTAGTTTGTGAACAAAAGATTGAAGGTTTTTCAGAACCATGTGAGAAACCAGTTCTGCCCTTGGCTAAGATACAGGTCCAAGGCATCACCAGAGCCACCTGACTGTGCTTCATTTCCCAACATCATCCCCATGGGAAATAGCAACTCCAGCTGCTCCGCTTTGATGCATCTCCTGCTCTCCTCCACTGCTCCTTCCCGGGCTCATTATCCCTTCTCACAAGTGGGTTTCATTTTAAAGCGACTTAATCATTTTAATAATGGGGTATTAGTGCCAAATTAAGGAGTGCTTTTCAATATGGAGTTTGAAATGAGATTGTGCATCTTCAATATACAAAGAGAAAAGAATCTATTTTGGGTTCACCAAACAATTTCATCTAATGTAATTAGGGACTTTTCACAACTGGAAACAGGCCATATTAGATTAAATTCAGTGGAAAAAAATGAATACTGAATTTTAAACCATGAATTTGTGTTGGTTCAATAATAAAAAGATGTCATCAGAATTACACTTCAAGGCACAACCATGTACTTTCTGTTAAAGCTGTTCTGTTAAATTCATTTCTCATGGAGCTGCTGAAGTATTTCATAGCTTCTAAAATCGTAGTGCCTCTACTACTCTTTCTCTTGGAGACCCCTTTTCCAACGGGCCGAGCGGACATGCAGCCTCTCCAGACATGCAGGAAGAAAGTGCAGCACTAATTTAACTCATTAGACAGTAAGGGACAAAATCCTAGCTGTCTGAGGGCAGAGGTGGCCGCAAAGTGCTCAGGTCCCAGCCGAGCAATCCCCCTGAGAACATCTCGAAGGGTCTCAGTCTGCATTAGGGTGCAGTTTCCATCTCATATCCCAGACAAGAGATGGGCCAGGCTCTCCCTGCTGGTTTCTATGCCCATTTCCACTAGGGGGAATTTGTCCTGGTGTCCTCCACTCATCCTATAGGCTCCATTTATTTAATCCCAGTCCTTTGCTTTCACCTCTGTGCCAGGACTGTGTTCACTAATTGAGTCTAATTACTAGGTTCACTAAGTGTTGAAACTAGAAAATGAGGTTCATTCCCATCCACCAAAAAATCCAGATTCAACCTAAAAGAAGATTCTGACAAAATAGGTAGTATTTTATAGCCAGGGTCCCCTTGATTTTTCCTCCATTGCACCTTTCACAAAAGCAGCGTTTCCAGGCTGGGACAAGATTCCTCCCTGGAAGCACCGAGCAAAGCCCGTGGAGGGAAGCACCCGGCTGCCACCCACCTCTCCCTCTGCACTCCATCCCCATCCTTCCTCCTTTCCTCACCTCTCTGAGCCCCACATCCCTACTCAGAAACTTCTCACACTTCCACCTTAGGACGGCCCCCCGTTGCACCTATATCCTTGACAGTAATGTAAGAGTAGAGGCAAGTATGATAGGAGCTACCCAGCCGTATAAAGCTGCTGTTGTCTGGGGGACTGAAGTAAAAGGCTGGAGAAGGAACATCTCCCTTGAAGACCGCTACTTAAAAGCCAGTGGGAAAACACTCGGAGTGCCCAGCACGGGCGCTCCCTGTGTTGCCTCTTCCTGCCAGGTTTGTGCAATGTTGCAAGGCAGGTCTGTGCGCGTTGCAGTTTTGTTGCTTTTTAAACGAGGACAAAGCTGCCACAGAGCTGATAGAGACCCTTCCTGCTGCGCCGCGGTTTGGGAACAGCGAGCGTGCTGGGTTACGAGTTGAGCAGGGGGCTGGGCCAAAGGAGAGGGCCCAAGCCGTGTTTACCCCGCAGATACACTTAACCCATGGCTAGCCTGGAGTAAATCCTTTTAGTTGCCGTGATTCGACACTGGAGCCTTTTACTTTCAGGGAAATGGAGATAAAAAACAGCTTAAATAAAGCTCAGGCTGCTTGAGGTCCCAGGAGTCTCGTCTTATGTTATAACCTGATGGAGCAGGGGTCTGTTTGAACATGCCTGTGTCCACACTATACGCTCGCCTATGCACACGTGTGGCCTTCCATAAGGGATACCCGACCCCAGAGCCGCAGCCTCTTGTCACTCCCCTGAACAACAGCAGCGACGGGCCCGGCCGGCACACGCAGGGATCGCGATGGGGAACACCTTTGGAAAGGTACCTGACGATCGCTTTTACAGCACCCAGAGCCCTACAAGCTGTTGATGCTGGTTACACACTGACAAGGGGTTCACACAGAGCTGCTCCTGCACCTACTCCAGCTGGGGCTGCTAAGAGCTACCTCTGAGCACTGCTAGT